TTTCATTGATGGCATTATTTACACACAACAAAATAACATCCATGGCAACCACGGCTTTGATGTTCATTTCATTCTACTGATCTAGATATGAATGTGAATTTATCATATTCATTTTATGTTTTCTCCCTCATCCTTTCTCACAGACTCTTTTGTGTTGGTGGAAGTCAGTGACCTTGGCTGTGCTGTCAGCGTGTACAGCGTCTCTGCCCCCAGCACAGAGAGCTGCACAGCATGGGTCTCTGCTATACATCAAGCCCAGGTAGGTCACTCAACACACATTCACAGTCCACAAGACCCCAGTAAGTGTGCAGCTTACCACATGCTCTTAAACTACCTGAATAAGTGCAGCTTTGTATACCCTTATAACCAGATAAGTCAACAAATAACATATTAACACAAATAGCAACAAATAAACAACAACAAACAAACCAAAAATAGCACTTTAAGCCCAGTTCATTTTTACGAGTCTTAACCCTTCAGGGAAACGTCTTACAGGCATCGCCTGAAGCTGCTGGCTAAGCAAGGAGCGCCATAGGCGGTCCACACGGAAAGCCGACTAGTCTCCATGCTAGGCTTATGCCGAACAGCTAACCCCAAGAGACAAGCTTTTCCTTCCACTTACTTTCCTCCTGTAAACTCATTAACTCATTACAATCTGATGTCTGCTTCTGTGACAACAAACTGGACTAACGTACCTCATGCTACAACTCACTACATGGGAGGTGAGGGAGTCAGTGTGTTTTGCACTGTTTACATGTTGCATTATTTGCATTTATTTACATACTGGTGAAACGGTACTGACAAAACTAACACCGTAAGCAGAATTTTAACTGGTATATCGGATGAACTGGTATATCTCCCACCACTAAGTGAGGTAATTATCACAATAACAATGAATTTCGTCATATTGGCCACGTCTACATCTAAAGGACAAGGACAGAAGGTAAGATGAGTCCTGGACTGTTGTACAACTGAAGTTTTTTTAAATGTAGAATGATCATTCACAGAGGTATCTTGTCAAGCAATCTGATTTTGATATTCAGTTTCAGTACTTGGCTTTATTATGGCTTTGTAACCTTAGTCATTACTGTTGTTCTACAGGAAGCCTTGGAGACCTTAAGGAAAACCCAAAACCAAAGCAAACCAAAGGTGCCCAGTGATCAAGTTGAGTTAGAGGAGTCAGATACACTTCCTTTTCCCAGCACACAGTCCACTGAGGACAGAGAGGAACAACCAGAGGCTCAGACAGAGTTTACAAATGCTTCCTCTCAGATTTCGCCTGGTCTGAAGCTTACAGCTAACCATTTAGAGAGCAGAGAAGATCCACAAGTAGGGAGCAAAGTGCAAAATTCCCACAGCCAAGCAGCCCGTGCAAGTTCCACGAGTAAACAAATGCAAAACAGAGACAAAGAATTTACTGATGAAACAACACAAGATTCTGAAGAAAAACAGAGGAGTGAAAGTAGACATCAGGAGGAGGATGATGTTCTGTCTGGTATGATAAATGAAAGACGAGTTACTTGGAGTCACATAACCACAAACTCCAGTGACATTTCAAAAGACTTAGAGACCAACAAATCAAATGGTCCACATCATTTGTTAGTAGGTGGATTAATGGAAAGTACTGCACCTAGCCAGTCATCCTCAAGCAAGACTGTATTGCAAAGTGGACATAAGCCTGCTGAACCGGCCATCAGCAACACAAAGCACAGGGCATTCACTTCAGTGGAGAGAACAAAGCAACAAGATTTGAATTACCAGTCACAGGAGTCAGACTCATGGCAAGAATCCTTGCAGTCAGGTGAAGAAGGGGAGCTTCTCTCAGAGTCATCAAGGTTCTCCCGGAAATTAAAGTCACCAAGGTTGCGGCGGAAGCGCCCAATGAATTCTCAGCCCTATGCCCCAAGTCAAGGCTCAAGGAGAATGTCAGATGGGGCAGAATCATTAAGGTTGCTACCTGACAGAAATTCCCCCTCAAACTCAGATTCTGATGGTAACAATAGCCTTCGCAGGCCCTCCAATTCCTCTTCCGAACCCCAGGATTCCCACCTGGTGCTCAAGCTGGCCTCCCTGAAGCGGATATCAATAGACCTGCATGCTTTCTCTGAGCCAGAGCTGTTTAATGAAATGCCTCAGAACTCTCTAAAAATACCCGAAATGAAAAGTCAGAGGAGGGCGTCCACACCTGACGTCTACTTAAACACCCAAAGCTTCCAACTAAGTGTTCCACCCAGGCTCTGCCCTTCACCCCCTCCAGGGTTTGACCCTCAGCTACATCCCTCCCCACTCCAGGGCCTACTGGAGAGGGCCAAAGAGAGAGATAGGGAGCGTGGGTTGGCAAAAAGAGACGGAAAGCCAACAGAGAAGAGTGTGAATCCTCTACAGAACCCTATCTATATTTCCAGTTCTCCATCACCATCACCCAGTGAAGGAGAGCGAGAGACAGAGGGAGAAGAGCAAGAGCTGTTTAGACAACAAGGGAAGCATTACTTGCAAATAGAAAGGGAATGCAGCGTGGACGGCCCTGAGAATGAGAGAAGATACAGGTTAGACTGAGCAGTTTTTAAAAACAATTGAAAATAGTTTGACCTCTGCTGAATAGTGCATTGCAGATTCTCATTTCAAGCTGGAATATTTAAATCTGCTTTGTTTTTTGCACTATATATTTTACGTGTTTAGGTTTTTCCCTTGAATACTTACCATATCTCAAAAACGCCCAGTGGAATTATTACTAAAAACTAAAATTGTCCGTTTAGAGGACACTGTTTGTTCCATTAGAAAGAAATGACTATAAATTGAGAGTTTAGCGTGCAAATAAAATACAGCGGTTTCATTTATGTTGTCTTGTTCTTACTGTGCTGCCCTGCCCACACAGAGTTAGCCTTCATGCTGCGTCACTTGAATCCACTTTACACTGCAGAAATCTTTAGTTGTTGTTGAGAAATTTTATACTAAAATGGTCTTAATGGCACATTTTTATCTAAGGGGAGGAAGGAAATGCTGCATGAAGATATACTGCAACTTTTCAATTAATTATTAGTTTACATTAAGTTTATACTGGATTTCTGTTAAGTTCTGCATTGACTACAATGTCTTACTTTTGACATTAAAAACGCTTAATGGCCTGGATTTGGTATATTTTACTGATCTGCTAAAACAATATATCCCCTTCACTCATCTGACACAGGTTTAGTGCACACTTCTAAGATCATACAGAGCTCAGTTGGTGGAAAATAATTTATCTGTATAGCTGGAATAGCATTCCAGAAAATACTAGGAATGCAATGGAATATTTGTTTTTTAAATCCAGATTAAAGACAAAAATGTTTGTTTGTGTAGGCTAGCATGTTCCTAGAATGCTGAGGCTAATTTTCACCTGTTGTTTGTATTTGTCCTGTTATTTTTATTTAGACAGTTTTTATCTTTCCAATGTTTTACTTACATTTCTGTACTTTGAGTACTTTGAGATTTTGTAACTAAAATGAAAAGTGTTTGTAAGTAAATATTATATCTCAGTCTTACTTGTTAAGTAGTGCTATCTGTTTGAGTCAACGATTACCTCTTAGGACAAGCATTCAGAAATGAAATCCTGTTATGTCCATCATCAACACTGTTATGTCTTTGCTCTCACCTTAGCCCTGCGACTCCTCTGGGTGTGAGTGTGGACTGGCCAGGCTGGTGCTTTGATGATGAGGAATTGCGTGAATTCTGGAAGCCTTATGATGGGACAGTAGACTGGTTGGACCACGCCCTGACAGCAGAAGAGCTCCAACAAACTCTAAGGCATGAGGATGGAGAGTACAGTGAGGTTTAGAGCCAAGAGTAGTTGTTGTACATGTTGTACATACAATAAAAGGGCTGTAGCAAAGTGCAGCTGCCTGCAGGCCAGAGTGTAGTAATGCTCTTGTTAGTTTAGAACCATGGTTCTCAGAAATGACCCCATTAAAAATGAGGTTTTAGGTTTGCAGCCTCTCCTGTCTGGACCCACAGCTGAAACACACCGCAGTGACCTTTGTTACAGTTCTCCACATAGTGATATGTCTACTTTACACACTTTTTACCATAAAAGGTAATGAACTGAGCTGCTAAGCTAAGCGGTGCTGCACACTGCCATCAGCTGTGTCAGTTTGTTGCAATTCCCCTTTACGGACACAGTGAATCTCTGCTTTATAATAACAACGTAATATCGAAAGGTGTGGGAGATTATATGGAAATGTTGTCCTCAAAAATATGTTAACAAAGATACAGGTTTATGTGTAATATTTTTCCGATCCTGCAACCCCTCAAAGTGATCTTGACACTATAGACAGACTTTGTTCCCTTATATGTAGATGATTATGTTGTATGATGTGTACAGATGTGAGCATGTTATAATGTGTAAATATGTAGATGTGTAGATGACACAATGTGTGGAGTGTGTCTAGAGTTAAGAAGTGTGAATGAAGCATGTACAACATACAGTTGGAACCAGTCTTGTAGCCACCTTACTTTAAACTCAGAAACTAGTATTTCTAATATATTTTGCATGTCGTTGCTGTATAAAAACTACTGTTCAAAAGTTTGGAGTCACTGCTCAAAAATTGTTCTTTTCAATAATGTAAACTATTTGATTTCAGATGTGTGAAATGAATTCACTATGCTTGTCCTGTGCTATTTAATCGCTTTCAAATTATTGGTAGGAAGCTAGAAAGCTGTAATTAAAATGTAAGCTGAAATGGTAGATGTGTCCAGAATGATGAACAAAGTTGAAGATGATTTAAAAATGACAGAGAACGCTGTGTAAGAATGAGAATGAACTTATATAAATTTAACATCCAGAATGTATCATATTTGAAAAGTGGTTATCAAATCTTAAGGTAGATAACTTGACAAAAAGTGACTGTAAAAATCATTACAGTATAGAATTGACAGTGTATAATAACTCAGAACTTTTTGAAATAAACATTTAACACTTCAAATACTTTTTAAATCTACATTGTGTAAGTCATTATTATATATAAAATAACAAATTATGACTATAACAAGTGATTTAAACATTTGAACAGTAGTGTGTATGTAATGCATATATAAAAATATTAATTATTTATTAGAAAAGTGTATTGTTTATTATAAAAAATAAATATATAAACTTTGTATATACTGTGCTATACACACTGTACAGGAAAACATGTCTAAATAAAAAAAAACAGGTTAATGACTTATGCACTTTATTTTGTAAGTCTTTTTATTTTTGTTGTATACATATACAGTATTTTATTTGTGTTTGTTTATGCAATATCATAAAGATCAGCGTTTAAAAAAATAGTTTTGTAGTTTTACTCAGTCATGGCCTATTTACATGCTACAGTTGTCTGCAAGTGACAAACAAACACACACACATATTCATATATACACTAATAATGCACACAGAGCAAAAGTCAGCCCTCAAAACCTCAACATGAAATCCTCAAAAAGCAGTAAAGAATTCACACAGATGTTAATGTCATATCTGCACTGCAGCTGGCCTTCAGCTCCTTATCTCTCGCCTTGCATCTTTCTTTCCTTTCTCGTTCATTTGCGGCCAGGTGGACAATGGTCTCCATAGCTGGATACTGCATGACCATTTTTCTCTGCAGGGATGGATGGAAGGGAAGATGAGAGAGGATGGTCAAATGATTGTGCCTGTATTATTTGTTGTGTATTCTATCTACTATGTATCCTCTTAAATTGTTGCTAGAATTGTTTTTATGAATTATTATTATTATTATTATTATTATTATTATAATTATTACAATTTTATTTACTTACCCTGCGATGGTTCTTGTACATCTGGAGCAAAATTAGCAGTACCAGCATTAATAGCAAGCTCAGTCCTATCAGAGTGATCACCTTTTTACTGCTTCCAGACTCATTCTGGCCCTTGACAGCACCTGCAGATACAGTCATATATACAGTCAGTTTTACAACCCTGTGGAATGTTTTTTCTATGTAGTATTTGTTGTTAGCATTCAGGCCCCCCAAATGTACGTATACACGTTGCTTAGAAACTAGATTGCTGCAAACTCCAGATGCAAAAATGCAGAACATTAAGGGCAGTTTACTCACTCATCATTTCTTGGTGGTAAGTTACATTTCCCAAAAGCCTCTGCTGGTTGTAGAAACGACACATCCATCCACCCAGATTGTTTGTTTCACCTTTGGGAATGGTAAAGACCTTTGATGTTGACTTTTGTAGAGGGGTCAGTGTATGAGTAGCATTTTCACTGTTGTCCAAACGGAGCCATTCATATTGTGTGACTTGATTGGTGTCACTTAGGTCACAAGTCAAGGTCATTTGACCACTTCTGGATGATCTCTGAACTGCAGTGAGACAAAAAAAAACAATGGCTTAGCAACACTGTTAGAATAGTTTTAATCATTTAGTTATACTTATTTTCAAAGCTGTCAAGTCCCTTTAACCTCCTCAATCTGTAGCAGTTAATGAGGAGCTTTATGATATTCACTGTTAACTAGAGTAACATAAAAAGGGGCTCATTCATTAACAGTTTCTTTTATGTATATTGATCCATGACAACTTCAAGAACTATTTGAATGCTTAAATAGTTCTTTGCATGACTAAATGGCTCTTCTTGATGGATACCTGTTGTAGATGGTTCCTTAAAGAATGTTATTTAAAGCTTTTAAAACAGCTGTGCTGTTATTACAATTTGGATAACTTTTTGGTATTATATAGAACCCTTTTTGCTAAGGGTTGGCAGTTGAGGTTGGTATACAGTCCCAGCTGTCCAGTTGGCATAGAAAGTGTCCACTTTCTACTCACCTTGAGCAATGACCAGCTGAATGTTCCTCTCAACTGACACTCCCTTCCCATCGGCACTCTTCATCTGTCCAGAGCACTTGTACATGCCTTGATCTGCCTCCTCCACGCTCTCAATGTAAGCTGACTTGTCCCACTTTGTGACTGCAGGGCTGGAGGAAATCTTGAAAGATGGAGGGAGTGAAACAGGCAGGCTAGTTGTAGTAGACACTTTCTTCCAAGCAGCGTCTGAAATGTCCCCATCAGAGAAGATGCAGGGCAGGGTGACGGAAGACCCCACCTCAGCATACGCCACTGCAGGATTACCCTTAGGGTTTAAGATTCCTGAGAGAGAGAGAAAAAGAAAGACAGAGAGAGAGAAAGAGAGAGAGAGAGTAATTAACCATTGTAAAGTTCATGACTCCTTCAACTACAGACTTAAGGCTAGTCATGTATTTATCTTAAGGCTTATTATTCAGTAACTACTATGAATTACTCTGTGACATGAAACTCCAATATAAATTATATATTATTATTATAATATAAAGGCTGTGGGATTGAAATGTGGACCCACATTTAGGCCCTTGCCGTTTAAGGGGCTAACCAACAAATCCACTTGACAAATATGGTATAAATATGGTACTGTTTAGCAGCAAGTACTTAGCCAATGTGAAAAAATCATCACCTTTGACTTGCAGTGATGCAGATGCTTTTAACTGTACTTCACTAGACGCTCTTCTCCGAACCAGGCAACTCCAGATTCCAGACTCCTTTTGAGACACATTAGAACGTTTCAACATCTGAATGGATGTCTGAGAGGGCTCCTGTGAACCATTCAGTTCCCATGTCGTTACTATGCTGCCTGGCTGTGGAGTGATGCTGCAGGTAATCGTCAGATCATTGCCCTCCACCACTTCAGCGGGACTGAAGGACACTGCAGGGAAATGGTACCATGAGACACTGAAATGAACTCAATCCAGAGCTGAACCAGAATTACTGACAATTCTGGGATTAAGCATATCAATAGCTCTTTCCTCTCACACTCAATTTCCTTTCATTAAATAGTTTATGCAAACTGAAGTGCATCAGCCAGTGTAGGCTGATTCTTTCCTCCTATTGCCACATGCATGTCATATTTTAATTACTGAAATACATGAAAACTATTTTGCGGTCATGATATTAGCATTTATTCATTTTACTCATAACCCATAATGACCCTCATGCGGAAATGTGTGGTAATATTGCATATAAAAAGGTCACGGAAAACATTAACACTGAATCAACTGCATTCATCTGAAATAATCCCCCTCTGCCCACCTAACTCTGCTGCATCGCTGACATTTCCATCAGCTTTTATTACTCTTTTTTAAACATTCTCTCTCTGAAAAAATGAAAAAATAGTATAGAGCTGGAAATTTCATAAAGTTTCTGCTCACTGTGGCCTGTGCGAGTGTGCTGTGGGGGGTGCATTACCTCTGACAACTCGGAGCATGACCTTGACATTCACCGTGTTGCCTTCTACAACACAGTAGTACATCCCTCCATCCTCCTCCCTTACTCCCTCAATATGAAGACTGTAATCCCCCTTTCCAAAGTTTGGCTGGGGACAGTGAGCACGTGGACCTCTCCCCACTGGCCGGAACTCGAGGCCGCTCCTGTCCCTACGCCATACTGTCTTCAGCTCGCTGAGAGGGAAACAGCAAGCAAGGAAGTGAGCATTTACTCTAATCCCATCAATGTTTAAACATTTCTGCATAATAAAGTGGTTGAGATGTAAACAATCAGTCAGAGCAGTTCAGTGAGCAGTAGTGGTGATAGGAACAAGACATCTGAAGAGTTTAAAGCCTCTAAAAGCTCCCTCACAGAAAGTTATTGCATGTAATGGTAATAAATATGGTGCCTGTCATTTTTAAAATCCATCTACCACTATTTAGTCATTATCAACATGACATGTAAAAATTCAGAAGATATGTGGAGTTTTACTGGTCATTTTGAATGGTAAATAAAATGGCTATATTTGTGTTTTAGACACTGTGTGCCATGGTTCATATCATCACCTCTGTGAACGAAATCCAACTAGTCTGAACATCTCTACTGAATTGAGATTTGAACTGAATGACTGAATTATGCAGAAACTTTGAAAAATCTGTTAGACGAACAAAGATTCAGATATCTTTTGGGATAGAAAAATACATGTTGGGAAGGGCAGATGGCTCTTACTTTCCAATAGCCTTTTTCCAGTGCACTGCAGATGAATGTGCATTGAAGGAGGGCACCACACATGGCAACACTGCCACTGAGCCGCTCTCCACAAACACCTCCTTCTCCTCAGACAGGCAGCCTGCAGGAAACATACACACGCTGATATCCTGCACACAGTGCCCACTCTTACAAAGTCCTGCTTCACAAGCATCCTCTCACACACTTCTATTAAAGATTATATTTAAAGATTATGTTAAGACTCTGCTTTCAATATGTATATTTTTGAATGAGAAGAATATCTCACTCACACTTACACTAATTAAAACCAGCTGATACCAGACTCATAAAGATATTAGGACTTACATGAGATAGCCAGGGATGTTGCTAGAAGAATCAGAACCTGCACCTTCATGTTTGATTGTGCTATGTCCTTCTTTGAAGTGGAATGTGTTTTCTTTAATTATCCTAAGAGATCTTTTTTCTTCTTCTTTTTCTTGCCAAAGTCTCTGTTCAACTGCTGCCAAGTGCTCAACCACTTACTTATAACCTCTCTCTCTCTCTCTCTTTCTCTCTGTGATAGTGTGTAGTCTCTGGTCTGAGTATGTATATTATGATGTGGGTGGGGGATGTGGCACTGTAGGTGATTCCTCTGCCTATGTCACATGACTTCAAAGACACAGACTTTGTTCATTTATGGTCTAACTGACGCACATCGGAAAATGCAAGAAAGAGAGAGAGAGAGAGAGAGAATTAGCAGATACCCACGGATTCTCCTGTCTCCCTCTCTTCTGCTCTCCACCTCTCTCTCTCTCTCTCTCTGAAGTGTTTTCTAATACGAAAGTATGTCATGACTTTGAAGAAATGGAAAAAAAGGTTGCTGTTGCAAAACAACACTACTCTCAGGTTTTATTCTAGGCACCCTTTCCTTGCATGCAGGCTAGGGTTACTGAATAGGTGATGCAATGCAACACTTGCAAAAACACTTAAACATTAAAGCATCCAGTCTGCCTGCTGGCTGCAATGAAGTTTGATTTCCTTGAATTTCAGAAGAGTTAGAGTGCGCCACAATGTCATGCATTAAGGTGTATTAAGTCGTCCTCCAGTCCCAAAGTCGTCCTGCACGACCTCACACCTGAGTCATATCATTGGCTTATTAATGACCCTGTTTTGAGCTGCTTCAAATATGTTTTGAATAGGGAAAACACAGTGCAAATACAGTGAAAACTATGCAAGAAGGTCCAAGACTAGAACAAAGAAACACTAGCTCATGTATTTTAAAGTCAGCGTAACTAACCCTTGTTAACTCTAGTCCCTGGTCTTGTTAAGCACGACTCATCATGTGGTCATTTAAAATAACAAAATCTTGTTCCACAGTCTTCAGTCAAAACGTACTGACTTTTGCCCCCCTCTAAAACGTCTTCAGAGTTTTGGTTACATCACTGTGCACCGAAGGGTGGAGAAAAATAATATTAACCAATAATATCATGTTCCACCTCCTGCTCCCACCATCCTCACCTATCATTCCTCTGTGACTGCATGGCCACAAATTGTATATTTATCTGACCAAATCACACATTGGACTGTGCAAAAAATGAATGGCACATAAGCAAATTGTTTAAAGCTATTTATCTGGGCAGTAAATATATTGTGCTTGTGTAAAACACTGACCTGCACACAAGAGGCCTGTTGCTATTGGTCAAGATGGTTGTAAATTGTAATTGGTTGGCACATTTAATTTTAATAATGTTTAATTAATCATTTCCAATAATAGTCTATTTAAAATTGTTTAATCTTCCATTTGTCATTTTTTCATATGGACAAAGCAGATTTAATAAACTGAAAAATTAATACTAAGTAGAGATATAACTTCTGAAATTCTTCTGCAGCCCCCTTAGCACACCCCTGCAGCCTCCAGTTTGAGAACTGCTGAGTTAGAACACAGGTGTGGTTCCAGATTTCTCCTCGATGCCCCCAGCCATTGCATAGATTTGTTAAATTCAATCAGCAGCACACCTGACTTGAATTTGATTAGCCAAACCGGACAACTACGATTAATACTGGCTGCCATAAACACAACAACATACATATCAAATCACTTCTTACTGTATTCATGTTATTTGAACACTCACTGCCCAGATAAATAGCTTCTTAAAACTGATTTTCTCAAGTGCTTAACACTTTTGCACATTAGTGTATAAGGCTCAAGTTTTGAGGATTGGGGTTTTTTTTGCATTTACGCAACTCTGGGAACATCAGATCTGCAACACATTAAGACAAAAAGACAGATTTGTTTCATGAGGGCCAGCTAGCATGCACAGACATCACAACAGCAAGGATGACAATGACCTACTAGCCTAGTTTATTATTAGAAAAGGAGCTACCCATTAACCACAACCTAAAGTTTAAACTGATGTTGCTGCTGGTGGTGGACAAATGTTCCATCAGCAATACGATATATGAAACAACATCACTCAGCAGGGGAGAAGCTACTTGAAGCTGTTTAACTACCTAAAATAGCCATGTTACATTTACCTTGCATTACGTAAATAGCATGCTACGTAAGTAGCAAAACTCCTTAGTTCTCTGTACCACCTATTTGAAGTCACAAATGACCATTTAGCAGGTGAGACCTTTCAGAAGAAACTACATGCTAGTCTCGTCATGCTCTTCCTGTAAGTTGTTACAAAATAGTAACAGGCTAAAAAAAATCTAGTCTAATCTAAATCTATTCTATTCCTTCATTTCACCAAAAGACAACTGTACCATGTATTAGTATATACCATCAATGTATAGCGCAGTATTGCATCAGGCTCTGAATTCTTGGGGTATGGAACAAAAATAACATCTGGTTATTGTGCTTGAAAGATCTTATCTTGCAAAGGATGTAAACGCATTGCTGTATGTTTTTGCTCTGTGTAGATATTGTTAGACAATGCTGCATCTGTATGCACACCAAGATGTTTGTAATTTGTATATCCTCACTGTGAATTTTTAAGGGTCGCGGATATTATTGATAATAAGAGTATTTTGATTGCACCAGTCTGCTGGTCCTTGTTTTAGGGATGTTTGATCACTTGGATGTTATACTGGCACTAGAGGACATCTTCTCTTCTTTTCTCATGAGCAATCAGAAACATGCTTCAGCCTGGTAATTAGAATGTAGCCTTAGTCAAACCATTCTATGCAGTAGTCATAGCAGAGTATGATTTACAGTACATGTTTGTTTGTTTATTGTCTGCATTAGGTAGTGGAACAGTGTTCTAGTGAATGCTGCCTCATCTTCTGTTCCGCTTGATAAGAGACCGAAGCCTGACTATAGTTCACAGATGTGCAGTCAGCACGTTCAGCTCAGCATCACTTCCCGGCAGAACAGGGACGTTGACGAGAGCATGAGAGAGAGAGAGAGAAAGAAAGAGAAAGAGAGAGCATGAGAGAGAGAGAGAGAGAGAGAGAGAGAGAGAGAGAGAGAGAGAGAGAGAGAGAGAGAGATTTGGAGTATGGGGGCAGCAGTTGTTTTGATGGAGCAAAGAGAACAATGATGCTTTGGGTGACTCAATCTCCCCCCTGTCTTTTCTCTCTTTTACTTGTTTGTTGTTTTAAGCTGCCTCTACCATCTCTGTGAGTGGACGTTAGAGAGGAGTACCACAGCTTACAGCTTAACCACATGCGTATTTTACATCAGAATGCTGGCAGTTATGCAGAACAGGTTTCCACTGAAAGCTGGTACTCCTTACAAGTTCAGTATAATACCTCTCAAATATTTCCCCTCTTTTTTCACACTACTTTGTGTAATTTATGAGAGAGTAGGCCTACCTTATGCAGGTCAAGATGGACATAATGAATCACACTGACAGAATATGAACACGGCCTTGAAGATCCATTTACTGTCTGTTTAATTTTTATTTGTCGACCATTTTTTTTTGTATGTTATAATAGAAAAATGCACCAAAAACACTTGTTCCAACTTACTGTAGTTGAAGGAAAAGTATCATTTGGCCACCTTGTTTCTATACTCACTGTCCATTTTATCATGTCCACTTACCATATATAATACAGTACTACTCTTATGTTTTTTTAATTTACAGTCAAAATGGCTTTTAAGTACAAGTTAATTTTTCAGAGTCAGGAAAAAAGCTGAAAACATTATATTTAACATAAAATTACACAAGAGCGTCCATGTGTACTATCAAATCAATCAGTATTTATTTTGTCCACTCTTTATTTTTTGTACACGTTGCTGTCACTTTAACTCTTCCATCCTTCCAGTCTTAAAATCAACCAGTTACAGCTGTGTCCTCCCAACAACAGCTGCTCCCAAATGACTGATGTTATGTCGAAGCCTTAAAAATTTCTTTCTAATATGCATCTAAAAAGGTTATTTCTGAGTAGATTACATATAACATAGCCAACTTGCATAAGCAAGGGGAGAGTCAAAGAAAAGTAATATATATATATATATAATATATATATATATATATATATATTTAAAATTAGGTACATATTATTTAAATAATCATACAGAGCAGGTATTATTTGCCCAGAGTTTTTAAATACCTCAGTGTCACTCACTATAGTCCACCAATCAAAAATATCCAGCCAACAGCATCCTGTGACCAGAAACTTACCACTGATAAAGAGCTAGAGATCTCTACATCTACAAGGTGGACCAACAAGGCAGGAGTGTCTAATAGAGTGGACAGTAAGTGGACACAGTGTTTTAAAACTCCAGCAGCACTCATACCAGTGCAACACTAACACACTACCTGACAATGCAGTGCTGAGAATGATCCACCACCCAAATACCTGATCTGTGGTGGTCCAGGGTGAAAGGAACAGGGAACAGGGTGAAAGGTGGGTAACAAAGTATGCAGATGGACTACAGTCTGTAAATGGAGAACTACAAAGTACACCTTTGGTAAGTGGAGCTGATAAAATAGACAAAGTGTAGGTGGTGTGGTGGTCAGTGAGCGTATAAAAGAACAGCTTCATGAGTTTAGCTGATATAGCATAGCTGGTGCAATAAAACATTCCTCAGTAGTTGTTCAAAAACATTTGTCTTGCATATCAGGGTTTGGTTAGGTGAGAGGACAAGAACAGAAATCTGGTGAAAGAGGTTTCACAGCTGGGCTTTTTACTTGAATTATATTCATAATAGTTATTGTTGTTGGGCAGCAATAGAAAACAATAGGGAAAAACATAATTATTTACTAAATTGTTGATGTTTTATATATTATGAATTATATTATAAATGCATTGCATTTATTATCATGTTTTACACAATTTCATTTTTACAGCATTGCTTCGTGAGAAAAGCTAGATCAAATCTGAAGAAGATAGGGTGCATAACCACAGACACCCACAGAGAGCATTCTCTTCATGGGCTTTGTGCGCTCCTTTCTTTGTTCCTTTATTCTCTTTTCTGCAGGCTTCACTTCCTGAGGTGTACCTCCACTTTGCACAACAACAACAATGAAAAAAACTCTTCGACAGAAGCCACCATGTTGTCATGTTGTATCTGGGACATGGTGTGGGGGCAGACAGGCCACAGCTCTGAGGGATTCACTCTCACTATCATAACTCCCTCACCCCCTCACCATAGTGCATTCTTCAGAAGAGAGTGGGTGTGCATGAACAATAGCGCTGATGGGGTCTTTCCTACACGCTATGAGACACTGGCACAGCATATTTGAATACAAAAAGTGATTGTGGAGAGACCCTCATGTGGAAACAGAGCATAATGTGCGAGAATACTGTACATATGTAGATAAAGCTCATGGAAAATATTAACACTGCA